TCGAAAACCATACGAGATACATTAAAACTTCTAATAGAAAAGTTGTATGGTTTCTTGCGTATAATAACAGGATGTTAACGAATTTTGCAAAATACAATTTGTTTATAACAAAAAGATTTTTCATAACCTTATTTTGCAATTTATTCAAATTTGTGTAATGACAAAAAGTGTAGAGAATTTTATTACAAATTCATTGGTACATATACATACGATATTGCCTCTTACAATTCCTCAGATTTTTATTATAAACATTACGCGTGCGCGCCCGCGACGCGCCGCACGATACTAAACCGGATCATATCGTACGATATTACACTACCAGTCAACATCATTTTTAAGCATAAATAAGAGACAATTCTATTTGTGTTATACATAACTATTAATTTTATTAAATTTGTATCACAAAACATTTATTGTTAAAGTACATAAGTATTCTATGTATATGTCAATTTTATAGGTAACGAATAGTTTGAATAAGTTAGGGAACATAATCACGGCAATGGTGGTAACCTTTATGATAAAAATCTGAGGAATTGTAGGAGGCAAAATTGTATACATATATATACCAGTGGATTTGTAATAAAATTCTCTACACTTTTTGTCATTATACAAATTTGAATAAATTGTAAAATAAGGATATGAAAAATTTTTTTGTTATAAACAAATTGTATTTTGCAAAATTCGTTATCATCCTGTTATTATACGCAAGAAACCATACAACTTTTCTATTAGAAGTTTTGATGTATCTCGTATGGTTTTCGAGATAGCCAAAAGGGGTCGAAACTTTAAGGGCTCGTTTCACCCCTTCAACCCACGTCTCAGCCGATAAAAAAAAATACGTGTCCCTTATTTTTGCCTGCTTAACAAACCTACGAAGTTTCATCAATTTCGGAAAAACCATAATGTCCGAATATTAAATCGTGTAATTGTAATTAATGGTACAGGTAGTAAAATGTAGCACACAATTTTGTGTATGTAAATATATCTATAATTACACTCCTGTGAAAAGAAAACATTTGAATAGTAGTGAAATGAATTTAAACAATTGCAAGTTCCAGTTTACACACAACTGCCGTGGAAACGAGACGTGTGTACGGTATCGCTCACGAGTACCAATTATAACGGGTGTTCACAAAGTGCAGTACCGTGCGCTGTTATATCACGCGTGTTAGTGTAAGTGGTGTGGTTCGGTACAGTGCGCATATGCACCAACCAACCATCATGCAAACAAGCGAAACCAATGAGTCCAAAAACTCGCAACATATCAACCTCACTGAACCTAATAAATATAAAGAACCAACAAAATCGTATGCGAACGCCACCAAATCTGAACCCTACCCCACCAAGGACCAAGCGATAGTCCTTACAGCTGTGGACAGCATCTCAATCAGGGAATATGCGTGTGCAGTAGGAGGAATAGTAGGCCCAAAAGCAGTAAAGTACATATCCCGAATCGCCAACGGAATTGATTACGCAATTACCAAAACCGTTTATAATACTCGAAGACTTCAACTGCCATAACACCTTATGGGGCTCCACAAAAAACGATCTTCGAAAACAAAAAATGAGCATGTTATTAGACAACGACGACCTTACTCTTCTCAATACCAAACACCACACATATTTCAATATTGCAAACGGCACCTTCAGTTGCATCGATTTAACAATCACTAATACCAATTTTGCTCATAATTTAGACTGGACCGTACTATACGACCTACACGACAGTGACCATTTCCCAATAAACATACAATTAAATAATATTCCCAATGTCCATAATACGCATTCATTTGTTCCGAAATGGAAATTTAACACAGCCAATTGGGAATTGTACAAAGAACAGCTGTCTACTTATCTACAAGAAGCTAACATCTCAGATAAAATGGACAGGATTGATACTGCAACGGAAATGTTCTGTAACCTCATTATCAAAGCAGCCAACGACACCATCGAAACAAGCTGTTAACGCTCGTGGTTGAAATAAATTCTTTCGAGCTTTGTTGAATATTGCACGTGGTGCAATATGCTAATATTGCACGTGGTGTGCCGACTAAATTCGTGTTTATTTTAAAGTAAATAACTATTTCCTTACTCGAAGGACCACTCCAAAACTTGGAGACTATACAAACTAATACAAGATGTTACTATGTCGAATATTGAGAAGCGAATGACATTTTTCTTATGAACATGAAGGTACGTTACACGCTTACAGTTTTTACATGGTGAGGGTGAGGGAAAAATACTTAATTTCTATTGGCTGTACAAATGGGGTGGAAATGGAGGCTTGTGACGTATGAAGAACATGGGTTTTTCCCAAAAAATGACTATAGCAAGTAATAAAACCAAGCAGTACCTCGACATGAATAGGGCTCCCAGTTGTGCGACTAAGGTCCTTGATGATGCAGTCCGATGCTGGATGCTGCAATCCGATGCTAAATGCTGCAACTCCGATGTTGGATGCTGCAACTCCAATGTTGGATGCTGTGACTTCGACGGATGGCAGCCCTTTCAAGTATACTAGATTGTTGTGATGCGTTTTAATGACAGCCCACTGAAGATATAATTGAACTGTGGAACACTTGTGTCAACAATATCGCGCACAACACTTGTTTCTGCTGCCCGCTGATCTCACAGCCGCCGAAGATTTGGGAAGTGCCTTGCCGTCTGCTTCTATCACGTCCAGAGGGGTGATGTCCTATGATGTGACATGCACTGTCTCCTTCCTGGATGTCCAAACGGTGGGCCTAGCTTCCGTACGAGATGAATTCCTTGATTGCCAAGATGCTGGTATCCGGCTCGAAGGACCAAATGTTAACGCTCGTGGTTGAAATAAATTCTTTCAAGCTTTGTTAAATATTGCACGTGGTGCAATATGCTGACTAAATTTGTGTTTATTCTAAAGTATATAACTATTTCCTTACTCGAAGGACCACTCCAAAACTTGGAGACTATACAAACTAATACAAGATGTTGCTATGTCGAATATTGAGAAGCGAATGACATTTTTCTTATGAACATGAAGGTACGTTACACGCTTACAGTTTTTACATGGTGAGGGTGAGGGAAAAATACTTAATTTCTATTGGCTGTACAAATGGGGTGGAAATGGAGGCTTGTGACGTATGAAGAATATGGGTTTTTCCCAAAAAATGACCATAGCAAGTAATAAAACCAAGCAGTACCTCGACATGAATAGAAAATGAAAATAACGGACTCTACTGTTAAGCTTAAGGTTCTGGCAATCAGATGTAAGGCAATAAACTAAAATACTCGATACAATGTAACGACTCCTTGGGTGTTATTGCTGCTATAGGTAAAGAAATTAACCGAAGGTCTGACCCTTCGCTATGGAACTAAATTCTAAAAATTTAATAACGGGCCTAAACATACCGCCCACCTTGAACGACTCGCGTTCAACAAAACCAATTGTCGTTTCCTAGTTCGTGCGGTCAAAGCTATTAAAATGATTAAATTAATAATTAGTTGTTATAATACTAGAGACATTTTACACTAAGTCGAAATCTATATACAGTTAACAATAGAGAACTATGAATACATTTTTACATTAACGATTGATTATACGTAAATTGGATTATACGCAATATACATTAAAACTGGTTGTCCTTAAGCAGAGTTTTCTGCGTTTGGTAACAAACAAATTTTAGTTACGGATCTTTTAGTGAGTCCGTCTATTGTCTTTAGTGTTACCACTCGGGTTATGTCGTCGAGTCCATGATGGAGCTCAGTGATTCTACCCAGACGCCATCTCATTGGTGGGATGTTGTCTTCCTTGATTAAGACTAGGGCTCCGATTTTGACATCTCCAGAAGAATCCAGTTTCCATTTGTGTCGTTGTTGTAACTCATGAAGGTACTCTTGGTGCCATCGTTTCCAAAAATGTTGCACCATCTGATGAATGAGTTGGAACCTGTTCAATCTATTTTGGTTTATATGGGTTACATCAGGTTGAGGGAGTGTCGTTAGCGCATCGCCGATTAGAAAATGACCTGATGTTAGAGGTGTAAGATCAGTTGGATCACTGGATAGAGGATGTAAAGGACGGGAATTTAAGCAAGCTTCAATTTGCGTAAGGGTCGTATATAATTCCTCGTACGTTAGACGTTGGTCACCAATAACTCTCCTTAAGTGCGTTTTTACTTGCTTCACACCTCCCTCCCACAATCCACCAAAATGTGGCGCATATGGTGGTATTAGGTGCCATTCTATGCCTTCTTGTGCTAAAGTGCTCTGAATCTTAGAGTTGCGATCCGCGCTATTGATTAAAATTCCTAATTCCCTTAATTGATTTTTTTGCACCAATAAAATTTTTCCCATTGTCTGAGTGGATCGAGTTGCATCGGCCACGGCGAGATATAAAACGGTAGAGACAATTGAGAAAGGCGTCGGTCGACAGGTCAGTAGCAAGTTCTAAATGAATGGCCTTGGTTGAAAAGCAAACAAATAAACATATATAGGTTTTACGCGCTACGCGACCACGTCCCCTTTCTTGAATTAGTACAGGACCTGCGTAGTCTACTCCGCAGGTAAAAAATGCCCGAGTTGGAGTGATAAAACGGTAGAGACAATTGAGAAAGGCGTCGGTCGACAGGTCAGTAGCAAGTTCTAAATGAATGGCCTTGGTTGAAAAGCAAACAAATAAACATATATAGGTTTTACGCGCTATGCGACCGCGTCCCCTTTCCTGAATTAGTACAGGACCTGCGTAGTCTACTCCGCAGGTAGAAAATGCCCGAGTTGGAGTGACTCTTTCGGCCGGTAGGTCACCCATTTTATGTGAAGTGATAATGGGATTCACGCGAAAGCAATTCATACACTGGCGCACAATTTTTCTGACGGTTCGCCTACCAGACAATATCCAGAATTTGTTTCTCAACGACGCAAGTGTTCGTTGAGATCCTGCATGCAATAATCTGGTGTGCTCATGTCTAACGATCAAGGTGGTGAGCGGATGCGATGTAGGAAGAATCATTGGATGTTTCTGTTCGTAATCAATTCTAGCATGTTTTAGTCTTCCGCCCACCCTGATTAACCCAGTTTCATCCACGAAAGGATTTAAACTCGTTAATCGGCCTTTTGAGCATGCCGGTTTATTTTTTAAGAGAGACTCAAGTTCTATAGCAAACTGACTGCGTTGCACAATACCAACTAGAACCTTTTCTGCCTTGAGTAATTCTGTAGCAGTTAAGTTACTATTTCGATCGTCGGGGATGCTATCTGAACGAATCTTCCTTCGAAGATTTGCTATGAATCTAATGCAGTACGCGATCACGCGAAGTAACTTTGAATATGAGGAATATCGAGAAACCAAGTCAAATGAATCCATTGTAGAGGCGCTAGAGGCGGCGACTAGTACCGTCTTAGTTTGCCTTGTTTCGAGTACGGATTCCGCTACAGGCTCAGAAGAAGGCCATTTGTGTGATTCT